CTTGAGCTGAAACTCCCACCACTTACAGGAGTAAAATCCACATGGTTTTAAATTCCTTTATTCCTCGTATCCTTCACGAAAATGATTCATGCCAGCAGATTTATATATATATATATATATATTTTTTTTTTTTTTTACAGGAATCCCCAAATGTTGCGGTGAAATATGCACAGAAGATGTGGGATGCGACGGCGAGGGTGCAGTATGCGATGCAAATGGAGGGTGCACGTGTGATTATTGCCGTGAGTAGGAGTGCTACTTTTCATATTTTTCTTCGAAACCGAGGTAGAAAAACGTCTACAAGTTAGAGATGTCATTTTGATGCGCATTGCCCAGAACTTTGGGTCTATTCCTGCATTAAAATTCATCTTACAGTGTGTGCATTTATTATAACTGGTATCAGTTATAATACTGTACCTTCTATGCCTAAACTAAATCAAATAAAATAGAAGACTAAATTTCTCCCCATGCTAAAGGCAATAAAAGCCAATAAAAAAGGATCCCTGCTTGCGCATGACCCCTGAGAGTTTCCAGACTAGGGTGGGGACAAGCAGTTGTGACTCCCCTAGTATAACAATCCTCTTTTTTAGTGGTGCGGGAAAGTACCATTCTCATGGGTTTCTCATCCATCCGTTTTACTCTATTTAGTATAATTTAGATCTGATTCATAATAACTTCGAATTGAAAGTGTATATCAATGTGTTGTGAACTTGAGTTAGTGATTTTCCCATATACCTCCTTTTTGCAGTACCTTCTGGAGTTGCGAAAACGATCTCCATGGGCATTCTTACTATCACCTCTATATCCATCGCCTCGCTCATACATATTCCTCTTTTGTTGCTATTGCACTGACGTTTGCACTACTTGTAGGAAATAAACGTGATCCCACTCCTTTGTATTTCCCTTGCAATTATTCCATGTTAAAAAGATAATCACTAAGTATACTTACTTCAAAGACATCCCACAAATGTCGATAATACGAGATTTCTTTTACAGACGAACATACCTTTATATTTCAAAATCAGTGCTTAAAGCTGTTTAAAGCCTTAAACCTCTAAGAAGAAAACTGTTTAAAACTAATGAATATAGCGCCTCCACCCTCGTCAAAACGCAAACAGCTTTCAAACTCTTTTTTAATAGCGCATGCCGTACAACATATCCCAAAAGGTAATGTCCCGAGATGTCAATATGAACACTCACAATATTCCAAAATGCGAACGTCCTACTAATGCCTTCGGAATCTAGCTATGGTGGATCAACACTAGATGGCCCATTTTAAGTATGGCGCCTTGTAAGTATCAGATGAATTTGAAAGACCATGTGAAGGAGAACCTTCAAGGGTTCTGACGACAACAAAATGGAGAGCAAGAAAAAGACAAGGAGATTATATCCTCTCACACGAGTGGAATAAGTAGCAGCATTAGTGGAAACGATATTGCTTGCTACTGTATTCATAATAAAAAAAGAAATCATTGGTGAATGATTGGGGCGTTTAGAGAGAAAAAAAACCATTGTTTACTGCATGGTCGTCTGCTGAGTAGCGTTTTTGAAGAAGTACGCCAATAGTGGAAAACAGAATTAGGTATTGACGGCGGAGGGTCTCATTCTCCCCAGCCAGACAAAGCGTCCATCCCATGCCTCCCATATCCAGATGACTTGCTATCTTTAATACCCAAGGACCCAGAAGTAAATCTAGACATTATTACAGCACTACAAGCTTAGCATGCGATAGGTGAATGCCGCCACGTCAATTAATGTTGTTTTCAAGAAGGGAAGCATTTCAACTGCTTAATTGCTACAAACCCGCCTCCCGCCTCCACCTAAGAAAGAAATGTCAAGAAGCAAATCTTACGATCTACTTGAAATGAGTCATTGAAGGCTTGATGATGACGGTGATGAGAGCTACCTGGCGTACCTGAATAAACAACAAAGCAGAGGTGGGTTGTTTTCATCTGCTTTTTCGTCACCTCATTATTGAGAATTCAATCCGGCCCGAAAGCAAAAGGATTAGAACTCGAAGCCACTGCCGTTTATACGAGGGTTGATCGGAAAGTAAATTAAGTTGGTCTGTGTTTAAAGCTGCGTTTGTTCAAGTGAGGTGTAAGGGTACATTAGTTAGTGCGAGTGCACAACTATTTTGCGACACAGTTCCCGCGGAAATTCAGACATACGAGGTATGTCCCATCAGTGCAACAGTTTATCGATGTCAGCGGCGCAAGTGGCAGGTTCCTGTGTGCGTAACCACATACGCTTCAACGAACTCATCAAACGGTAAGCGACGTCAACATGGGTGTTTTTAGTGAAAAAAATCACCTTTGGTTGGTGCTTTTTTAAGCCTAACTGATGGATATTACATGACACCAGGTTGGGACTGTACAGCGGGTGTTCGAGGACCTCCCAGCGAAATCGCTGCAACAGCTCTCGAATGTGACGAGCAATGTGGGGACGTGCATTGGCCATCTCCAAACCTGTCGCACCATTCAACCACATTCTTCAGCGCAATAACAATATTTCCGTACACTGCTGTCAGCTATACATGAATTTCAGCTGGTGAAATATTTTTCGCCCACAGGAAACGGATAACAGAACCCATTTCTTCGCCGGACCACGTGTCCAAGCGTTTTGTCATTTTGAAACTCCACTCCTGACCGCCGCTCAGGTAACCGTAGAGCTTCCACAGTTTTACCAACTGTGAACGTTCAAAGGTCTCTACTGTGCTACAAGTGGTCCCTCTGCCGTCGTTTTGGTTTCACAGACCAACTTACTTTACTTTCCGATCAGCCCTCGTATAGGGTATGTTTCAGCTTTTGCAATTAGTATATCCTGATTAACATGACTTATGATGATGGATCAAATCGCACGCCAAATGGTACATTTCCTACTCGGATCGGTACCTCCAGCCTTGGCAAACGAAGCGTTGATTTACCCTACCTGATCAACCAATTTGGATCACGTGTCTACTGGATATACAATGGATGCCTGGGTTGAAACTCATTTTTGGCTTTTGAATGTCGTTCGTTGCATTCCGGTGTTCTCAGGCGTTATTAAAGTTTTACGATTCAGTATAATGTTAAAGCTTTTCCTCTGATGTCAATTAAATATCGGTCCCACATCTATTTTGAACAGCACTGGAAAAAAGTATATCATATATTGTACGTAACATGCAACATCAACGCTTAAATGCAGAAAGTGGCCAAAATGTAACATATTCTGTCACGTGGTGGTAGTAAATGTGAGTCAATGAATAACAATGCTCATCGAAACGCCAATGTCCCGGCTCGGAAACGTCAGTTGAATCAACCCAAACAGCATGTTTATGTTAATTTTACGTAAAATGAATGCAAAGTTTTTGTCCATTTTATATCATTTTTACGCAAACCATTGTCAAGAAAATGTCAACATGTTTGCAGAAATGTCACCTCTGTGATAAGTAAACGGTGATATAAAATTAACGTAAATTTTACGTAAAATTGACATTCCTACCATTGTCAAGAAGATGTCAACATGTTTGCAGAAATGTCACCTCTGTGATATGTAAACGGTGATATAAAATTAACGTAAATTTTACGTAAAATTGACATTCCCGTTTGCATTCCAAACAGTATGTTTACATTCATTTTGCGTAAGATTTATGTTAATTTTCGCCTGGCATTCATGCGTATTTAAGGAGTCAATCAGTCCCATTGAAGAGAATTGATATACCGAACCTCCTATTCCTTTACGTTCTTTAGAACTCTAGGGTGGTTGGATGAGTACACGAGTACACATCCTCACCAGCACTCCAGAGTACCAAAGTGACCTACTGCTTCCTCCTCCCGTACTGGAACCTCGGGAGGAGGAGTAGATGTTCAAAGGAGCTCTCTTCCTTTTAGGATAGAGAAGATGTAGTACTTGTGGGGCTGGGATTCTACTCTTCCCTAATCCCGTGCACTGCTGTAATAAAAAGCTTAACTTCAGCATTTAATGATTCCCTTTACATTCATTTTACGTAAGATTTATGTTAATTTTCGCCTGGCATTCATGCGTATTTAAGGAGTCAATCAGTCCCATTGAAGAGAATTGATATACCGAACCTCCTATTCCTTTACGTTCTTCAGAACTCTAGGGTGGTTGGACGAGTACTCATCCTCACCAGCACCCAAGAGTACCAAAGTGACCTACTGGTTCCTCCTCCCGTACTGGAACCTCGGGAGAAGGAGTAGATGTTCAAAGGAGCTCTCTTCCTTTTAGGATAGAGAAGACGTAGTACTTGTGGGGCTGGGATTCTACTCTTCCCTAATCCCGTGCACTGCTGTAATAAAATGCTTAACTTCAGCATTTAATGATTCCCCGAGACATATATTATTAAAAAATATATAATAATTTCATGTTTTCCATATATATATTCATGGATTGCATAATAATAATAAAAAGCTTAACTTCAGCATTTAATGGTTCCCAGAGTCATATATTATGAAAAAATATATAATAATTTCATGTTGTCCATATATATATTCATGGATTGCATAATAAAAAGTAGAAGGATGGTAAGAAAACCTGATACTAGATCAGGAAGACCAGTACTTAATATTAATTGTAGGATGCTGGGAACAAGGATTCCATCTAGTGAGGAATCTTGGTACTGCAACTGCAGGATGGTCAGCTGAAGATTAATATGGATGGTGTGGTGTTAATTTTTCATAAACTTGTTATCGTGTACTTCATGTCAGATGGAGTGACGTCTAGTTGATGTAAAATACAGGTACACTTTGGTGACGTAAATATAGGAACGTAAATTTTTCGTAAACGTGAAGTCATTTCTTGGCAATCGCAAGAAATTTACATTGTTTGCAAAAAGTGATATCTTGTTTAGGTGAACATGCTGCTTGGGGAGATATAGGATCTCGTTGGGAACGCATTATGCGGTTGAGTTGGACTTCCTGGAAGAATGCATCTTTCAAAAATTTCCTTGAGTATTTCCCGAGTTCTCTTCCCGGTAGGTTTGGATTTTGGCAGTGCTTATGGTGATCCTGGCGAGTTTCGTCATTCCGGAGTGTGATCGGATCGCGAGGGCACTTCGGGGGGTTCAAGTCCCCAAGGAAATTACCAAATTCCAGAGACTCCTGTTTTTCATGCATTCCCTCACCCAAATGACGGATCGAAGGAGGCCCAAATCCCACTCTTCAAAAGTGTTCTATGCAGTCTGGCTTCTCTTCGCTGTCGTCTTCGGAGGTGCGTGCACGATGTCCGACCTTTGAGGTACATACTCATGCGGGGAAAAAATGCAAAAAGCGTCCAAAACTCTTATGAATTGGCTCCCAGTCAGAGCACCATGTTATTGAAGAAACGAAAGACTTGCAAAACGACATTAAGTATGAAAAAATCTTCAAAGTGTAACGAGTTTTTGTTTAACTTTTAAGGAGTTTCATTGCCATTAATTTTATGCGTAAGATTTTGGTGGCATGCAATTGACATTTTAATGTCAATTATTTCATGCTCATGCTTTAAGAACACGTAAGTGTTCTCATGACGACATCCCGAACTCAAAGCCAGTTTGTAAGGTCCTTTGCTGGATGATGCCAGTTGAAAAGAAATAAGACATGTGTCAAGTAAAGACGGTCCCTCTCACATGAGATTCACGAAATAAAAGTTCCCATAATTTGCAAATATTGACAAAATATATATATAGGCAAAACCAGATGATGCTCTCTGAACTAGTTACATTCAAGTTATAGTTATGCAAGACTCAAAAAAGGTTTCTCTTGAAAACCCTGAACATATTATAATCTTATTTCATATTGCATTACATTGTTACCCAGCAAAGATGCTCGAACAGTCGCTGCGCCCATTCGCACGCTAAGAATCATCCCGCCATTTAAAACGCGTCTAACGGACGACCACCGTAATGGAAAAGTCCATTGGGCTTGTATGGAGTGATCCAATTTTCCCGGTGAACTCGCCCTTCGCTAACAAGTCGGGAAACGTTTAATCGCTACGATGATGTAGTGTAATGTAATCGACTCGGTGAAAACGTTTTATCGATCTGTTCGTGGTGGAACAATTCTCTGTACAATGATGTGCATCGATAAAACATGTGACTAGGTTTAACTACGTTTCGTCTCGTCAAATTTATATGGAATTTTATTTACCGTACTCGCCTCAAATTTCCATATCGATTATCACTTTTTCCATGCATATATTTTCATCTATAGCCATATACTCCAGCACCTTGGTCTCCCATCTCAGCGTGAGACAGTACAGCAAACCCATCGATTCTCTTGAAGACCTTCTCCAAGCAGTGGAATTCCAAGGTTACTCCTGGGGCACAGTCGAGGGAAGTGTTCTGCTTGATCTCTTTCAGGTAAAGAAAAAGAGTACAATATGTTGTCGGAGTATTTGCAAAAATAAAGCAATTCTTTATTTTATACTCAGACCAGCGAATCCGGGATATACAAGAGCCTATGGGAAGAAGGGAACAAAAGAGGCAAGACAGTGTTCCTGGCCGATAGCATCGAGCAGGGGATCGTGAAGGTCGACAACGGAACTTTCGCTTTTGGATTCAGCGAAACTGCGTGCCGATATTGGACATCCATGCGCGGGAAATACCGATTTCACCTGGCCAAGAAAACTTTCTTTCCTCACAGTAGTGGCATGGCGGTCAACAAGGGCGCTCCGTATCACGCCAGACTCAATTCAGAGTGAGTCCATCAAGTGAATTTTTTATCAAGATTTCTTTCATTGCTCATTTTTTTAAAGATCAAAGTGCCTTTACCATCGTAATACTGGACGCTTTGCTGAAGAAAAAAAAAACATGCTCTTCGTCAAACGCTGCAGGTGGCTTCTTCATCAGAAGTCTGTTGAAGTAGTCACACTTGGTAAATGCCAGAGTCACTCGCAGGCTGCCGCAGGAATGTCATGACGTGCTACCAAAATAGCATCCAATAAAAAAATATTGGTTGAGTGAGACATTGTGGTACGGCACTACTCACCTTCGTGCCATAATTTACGGTAGGGGTGATAACATGCAATATGAAGATTTAGACTGAATTGAATTATTCATTTGGAAATGAAGGCTGCCTTGGTTCAAAATCACACGCTTCCGGTACTGAAGGTTTAATAGTTTCGTTGCACCCTGTAGTTAAGTCAAACAGAATCCCAATTCCCATTTGTGATTTGCTTTTGAAACCCTCGTACAGCCCTTAACCTCGTACGAATTTTTCAATTGCTGGATGTGCATGAAAATTTTCGTTTGTGCCCTCGTCCTATCATTGTCGGGGCAAGACCCTTTCAAGGGTGCATTACGTCTAATGCTCTCCAGGAAATTACAAGCTACGATAACTGATAGTTCACAAACGAACACGACGACCATGTGTGGGTCATTCGTGTATTGCATGCACATCGGTGTCCATCATGGGTTGCAGGGTGAGGAGATTCGTGGAGGCAGGGTTCATCGGGCACTGGATGCAGCAAGTATTCGACTCGGCTAGCATGCAATCCTATCAAAAGGGGAAAGAAGACGAAGGCGAGGATAAACCTCTCAACTTGAAGGATCTCCAAAGCGCTTTCTATCTCCTTTTCATCGGGCATGGAATTTCCCTGCTCCTCCTCGTCGCAGAGAACTTCGGGAGATGCATCGTTGAGTCTTGCAACGATGCTGTCAAGAACGCCAAGAGCCTGAGATTCAGAATCTGGAGAATGTTCAAGAAAATGAAAAACTGGGGACGAACACGATGAACGCTGTCACATGATCAAAGACACTTTGGGTTTGTTCCTAGAGAAGGAATTCCTTGTTCCCAAGTTTTAAACTAGCTAAAACGAATAAAGCCGATAGTAAGTAGAACGTAGACGTAGAACAGGAAATTAGTAAAGAAACGGGAAAGAAAACGAGCTCTTCGTAGGATCTGTAGACGTCTTTCACTATCATCCTCATCATTACAATCCACAATGTTTTCCTACCCTATGTATTATCTTCCCCCCGGTGGAAACATTCCCAAGCTCTTAAGTTTCGGTCCCGGCATTTCCAGTGTCTGTTGAATAAAGTCTTCGTTCAATATCATGTATTTTTCATCCATAGAAAACATTGAAGCGAACGCAATCATTATGTGAATATTTGTCAAGTGACAATCGAATCTCCATTTGGCGCGATTCCGACGTTATCGCTCCTCAAACTGACATGAGCGATTCTCCACCCGACAGGAATGCTTTAACCCATTCAAGCCTGACAATTTGAATTCGCTTCGAAAGTAGGACGTCGTATGACGGTCAGAGGCCTGAAAGTGTTAAAGCTGCGTTTACGCTCTTCTTTCACGAATCAGATTTGCAACCCTGCCGAAAAAACTTCATGAGATTCTCATGAGGTTTACGAACAGATATCTCATGAGCTTGATCTCATGGGGAATTCGCACAGAGGCGCCACCTACCTCGTGGTGACCCAATAGCCACGAAAGGCCTCATGGGACTCAACTTGCAAGGTCCCGCGAGTCCTTAAAAGTGAAGCAACCACATCTTTTAATATATATAGACGATCGTGACTGATTGACTGACTGCCTGACTGACTGACGCTAATTCTAACCATGTTCTAGAAGGTTTAGAAATTTGAAAATTGGTACACATGTACCTTTTGAGATGCAGAGTTCAGAAAAAATCCGACTTTGGAAGTACATGCCCTGGGGGTACAAATTTTGGGGGGAATCGTTTTCCTTAAATATTTTTTGTGACAGATGAGGAGGGCATTCAGAGAGTGAACTGGATGTGCTGGGTTCGGTGGTGTAGTAGTAGCATATCTGACTGGCAATCGGAAGATTAGGGTTCAAATCCCGGCCAATCATTGGCTTTCTTTTGGCCTTTTTGCCTTCCATGTCCCGATACTCATTCCCTCTCCATAACATAATTTTTCCTTGAGTAAAACGGAGAGACACAGAAAGCTGAAACTTGGCATGGACATGCCTACCGAGACAATGACTTCAGGAAAAATGGAAAATTTTAGATCCATGCCCTGGGGCATATTTTTTTGAGCCGACGTTTTGAAGTGTTTTTTTTTTTGTCCTGGCGTATTGAGCTAGTGTGGAAAGATGAAACTTAACATAACTATTGGGATGCTCCAGAAAACTTCGGACTTTGGAAGTAAATGCCCTGGGGGCACACATTTCAAAGGGAGATATTTTCAACTAATTTGTTTGCATCAGTTAAACTGGAACATGGAAAGCTGAAACTTTGCATGAATGTGACTACTGAGACAAGGAGTTATATAAAAATGTTAAATCTCTATACATCCCCTGGGGGTACTTTTTCGAGGGGCAATGTTTAGAAAAAAAAATTTTGTCGTGGCGAATTGGACAGAAATGGGAAGGTGAAACTTGGTACACATATAAGTGACATGATATTACTGAGCTGAGGGGGTATTCAGCTTTTAAGGTGCATCCCCTCCGGGCATAGCGATAGGGTAGGTCGGCATTACCAAACATGTTTTTTCACCAGCGAAAAGGGCAAACGTATACTATTGTTTGTGCAGTTTATGGGATTCACGAGGCATAATCTATTTCGAATTCCTTCCCCGTCCGTTCACTACTCACTCAGCCAGTCATTGGAGTCCTAAATATGCAAATATATAATTTAAAAAAATGCCTGAATCTCCTGTAGGTTTCAGGATCTCTTGATTGCATCGCAGATGTGCTTGCGTAAAGGAAAAAAATTATTTTAATTATATATCCGATGGTTTTCCTTATTTCTCTCATTGCAAGAATTAGTTATGAACAATTTCCATCATATGTAGATTAAGAGCAGATTTAGGTTGATTCCACTAAAAATCTTGGAGAATGAAATGATGGAATGAGTCGACTTTCGTCATCACGACTCTTCTTTCCCAAAAGCACAGTAAAAGATTCATGGAATCCCCGAATGATAGCCTCCGACTGTATTCCACCAGTGGGCCTTGAAAAAGCCAATGTAGGCGTAATGGATGACATATATCCTTCATTACCCGAAGCAGCCCGATTCGAACGAACGATTCCGACGACCCGTTCATAATTCAGTGCCATCCCTCGTCTCTCCGCGGCGATTGAGACCAAAAGGGACTACCCTTCACATCCCTCCCTCTCCCCGCAGAGGATGGCCGCGTTGAAGTCAGCACAGGCTTTCTTCTTCCTCGCTTTCGTCTCCGAGTTCCTCCTCGGCTCAACGTCTTTCATGGGAAGCTTCAGTCTTCGCAGTGAGTCTTTCGAGTGTGATCCTGTGCTTCTGATTTTTCTTTCTGTATTTTATTCGATCTCCTTCGAACGCGGTGACAGTGCTCGAAATAAGGAGAGAAGAGCAGGAATTTTACGGGGAAGTGATTCAACTCCTCCAACCGGACATCATCATTTTTACAAATGGTACGGTTTTCCACATATTCAAATTCCTTGAATACCAAGTTGGCTCTGTCTTCCGGTTTACAGGGTAGGCTATGCTGTCCTCGAGGTAATGCTAAGAAACTAGGCGGGCAGAAGAGTATAAGGGTTCATCGATGGAAACTCCTGTCCAATGGATCAGCAAGTGCAGGAAGAGCATTTTTCAACGTTGCAGAACGGCATGGGTCCTTGCGGCGGGTGTCGTGGCCGGCAAGGACGACGACGATCCAAGAATTCCGTAGGGAAGATCTTTCGGATCGGCACCGATTTGGCGAAAACCTCCGAATTCTCTGCGAATGCCCTCTCTCCGACGTCATCTCCCTATTCCGAAAGGTGAGCATGTTAGAGGACCAATTCTGAGACCGCGTTAGCGGCTGCTGCCATGGAAGATTAGCATCTGCAAGAATGCGCCCTTCAATTCAGGATCGAATAACTGATTTATTTAAATTAAGGCCGGCCCGAAAAAAAAAATTAACAGCACAAATGCGACGGCTCTTCTGTAAATTGATCGATTTCTGAGGGTATTGACGTTTAAGGAACTTTAGGTTCGAGTTTTGTACTTAAAAGTGGCATCCTAGGTGGATGCTCAATTCCAATCAAATAATGCAATTCTGAATATAAGCATGACCTTCAGCAGATGTTAGCAGTGTCCTAAGAAATATGCAAGAAGGGTCACTCACATGCGGTGTCTCTCGCATGCGAGCGCCCTGCCGAACGTTGCGGGGTGGGGAAGTGGGGGGGGGGGACTCTTGCGTAAGGGAATCGGAGGGTATTTTCCATGTTTTTCGTCACCCGATCGTGAAATCCGAGCACCCTGAGAGAGAACTTGATTTGAGATTCGCGGATGACCGAGTTTCTCTGGAGGGGTTCTTCCCATACATGTTAGAAACGCGCATCGTGCTCGGGTCTTAGAAACTTCCACGACTGGAATACTCACGAGATTCGAGGGGACGAAATCTTTTGGATTTTCTCTCTCCCCCATCTCGAAGATCGGTTCGACGTTCGTCGATTTCCGTTCCCTGTGCACTTCGCCACGCAAAAAAAGGCATTTCTTTGATGCTATTCCGAATGGCACCGATGCTTCCTTCGAGGGTTCATCCATTTGCCCTTCCCATATTAAGGATCTCCTCCTCTTCGCAGGCTCTGAGCTTGCCGTCCCGGCCGCTACCGGCGCTGGCGTGTCGACTAAAAAGTCTCCAGACTATTCTTAGCGTTAATGCGGAGCCACCCCCTTGCTCCCGTTTCGCCGACCCGATTTCACGCTTTGACGAAGTAGTAATTCCACGTACGCCACTCGATCACCCTCTCACCAGTGCCAATCCCATTTCTGCTCCTCGCTGACGACTCGACTTTACCCAAAAGACGGATCGGCTTTCCGAGCAATTTCCTCGACTTCCTAACGAATCTCGCAAATCCTTTAACTTCGTGACCATCCTTTAATCTTCCCTCATGACTTGGCCTTCCTAACCTTATATTCCGACCGAAATCATAAACGAATTTCTTCGGCGTACTGCAATCTTTTTTGAAGCGGTCTTGCGAATCCACTGTCGGCCTATTGCTGAGCTTCGACCGTTGGTATCCCACGTGATGACGCAATGGTCCGACTCCATTTTTTTTTCTTACACTTACTTTTTAATCAAGCCATACATACCGTTGCGAAAACATAATTCCATGATGACTGAATTCCTGGTCAGATCCTAGAAACCTTGACTAGATCCTATTGACCTTGGTTGGGTCTTAGTGACCTTGGCTGAAGCACCCTGGATCGCAGTGGAATCCCCCTCCCTTCTCGCCCCTTCCTCGTGGTGCCCACTTATTCAAATTAAACATATAAAAATCTGAAACGAGCAAAACTCTCTCTGCCTTCTCGTCGATGCGATTCATTAAGGCATCAAGAGCGATTTGGTCGCTTTCTTGGTTTCGGAAAAGCGGTCACGCTCGTATTAAAAATTCCTTCTGAAAAAAAAACTGGTGTGGCCCCCAACCACCCTTGAAGGGTTCCATCCCACTCTAAACCCAGTCGAGTTTCGCCCCCCTCCCATACGGTGTCGATCTTCCATCAATCTTCCCCACATCCCTCGAGCCTGAGTAACCTGGAGACTCCTTAGACTAGGTCTGTTCCTCCGACGAATTTATTGAAAAATTCAAATGAGTTCTCCTGTCGTGTCTGTGGGGAGAGATGGGATTCCGTGGGAGAAGTATCGGGGACCGATTCAAGAACATAGTCCATACCTGAGCGACGTCGCCGATGAATTCGCGGTAGAGCGAAGTCAACACGCTTGGAAACAAGCTCGAAGACGGTCTACCGTCCGGGCGTCTACACGAAGTTCTATTGCAGACTAATTGCTTCAGTTATTGCCCTCCAGAAATTTCATGAAGAATAAGATATTTTATACGAAACGATGCCTTGACTGAACGCCTAAAAGTTGCTCATCAGTGAACATACGGTTCATTTGTTACTTGGACGGGAATTACATTTGTGTTATTAATGGCTGCCCCGGGCATTGCTTTAAAATTCGGATGGGGGATGTGCAAAGTTGAACAGTACTAGAAAATTGCGGTCCCTCTGAATATTTCATTCGTTATGCTTTCCGAACACTGAAGGAGCGCATATTGAGCAATTGCTGTGAATAATGAGTTATTAAGCACCCTTGATAACGGCGATAACTATGGCACCGTTGACCGCATGGCTCACGCCGCGTCACTGTGGAACCTCAGCTTACCATGTCATACCGTTTCTCAGATATTATGCAACCTGAGATGGTAGGATCCACCTCTAAGCACCTTTAATTCATCTTTACATGGGCATTGCACGACTAAGGCAGGGGTGCTGAAAAGAAGCTAGCAAGAATTTCAACACCTGGTAACTGTCAAATATCGATCGGATTTAATTTTTTTTTCGCTTCATTTATGAAAATGTGTTTCTCCCATAGAAAACGGAAGAGCATTTTTTTTTAAACCACCCTATATATTTTTTCTAACAGATGAACGATGGGCATAGGACAACTCCGAAACACAAATGGTTTATGGGTGGAACGTCGTGGAAGACGTCTGACCTTAAGGCAATGGAGGCCGTTTTGACGGAGAAGAACGCCTTCTCCATGATTCTCAGATCCAACGCCGACAACAAATTTCACCTCCACACGAACATCCCGGATGTATCCACTGACGGTTCCCACATGAAGCACCTGTTGTCCTTTGGAGATGAGAGCTTTCCTCATTGCCCTGGGGAAAACCCCTGGGACTGCCTTTTCCCCGATTTGGAGGCGATTTTCCGGGATTTCCGAGGGAGGACACTCGTGGTGGCAGGTGCGAAGGAGGGCATGCCCTTCTTCTCCTTTCACGATTTCCACGATCGTGTCGTCCCAGACGGAGGGATTGAACTCAGTCTGGTCGACTGCCTTGCCAGGACACTTAATTTCACGTGAGTTTTAAGTTAAGCATCAGTTGAAGTGATTGATGAAGGATTTCTCTGGGAAATAATGAATTATTTTTGCTTCCATATAGTGAAATTCGGAGACAGAAAAAAATCTCTGAGGTTAATTTTTAATACCTTCCATCCTAATATAGCACTCGGCAACTAAAGTGCCAGCCAGAAACAAATTCCAAGTATCAACTGTAAAGTCTTTCTCTTCGGGACACGTTTGCTTAGAAAATTTGAGAATGACCAGAACTGGCGATGCAGAGCATTAGAAGTTAGCATGATTTTCCTCCTAGTTTCTGAATAAGAGATTGCGTAGCAATGCAAAATGCTGCATGCGCACGTGTTGCATTTTCCTAAGGTGTAAATATCCTCGCAAGGTACGAAATCCTGGATGACTATGAGGCGACGAGCCAGAAAGACGAAGACGGGGACTGGGGCGTGTCAACGGGGAACGGAACGTTCACGGGCCTCATCGGACTCGTCCAGACCGGAAGAGCTCACCTGGCGATATCCGAACTCACCATCACGCAAGACCGGACGAGGATCGTGGACTTCACCTACCCCCACGCGATGGACGAGGCCACGATCGTCAGTCCCAAGTCTTCCGAGATCACGTCTCCCTTCATGATCGTCCAGCCCTTCAGCGTTTGGGTGGGTTTTCACTCTTGCACTTGGTCCAGCGCTTCTCCCTTCTTCTTCTCCCGTTGTCCCCTCTCTTTCTTCTCCTCTCCAGCCTCCCCCTATCGATCCAATCTCCTCCAAACTTGTGCATATTTTCTGGCTTCGTGTTAATACAGATGGAGTTTCATCCGGATATGAATTAAGCTATATGAGAGTTCTAGATGCGTTGCTTCGTACTTTGCTCAACGACTTCACAATATGAAGCCACTTCATCTGAACCACCGAGTTGAACTCTCCCAACTAATTCCCAAATTTTCATTTGCCCTCTGTTCTTTGCCCCATAGGTTTGGATCTTGACAGTGCTGGTAGTGATCCTCTCAAGTTTCGTGATTGCGGAGAGCGATCGGATCGTGCAGGCCCTTCGGGGCGCTCAACTCCCCACGGAACGAACTTATTTCCATAGACTCCTGCTTTTCTTGCAGTCTCCCATTCAACAGACTGTTCGAAGGAGGCCGAAATCCTATTCCTCTAGAGTTTCCTTTGCAGTTTGGCTTCTCTTCGCCCTCATATTTGGAGGTATGTGTCAGATGTACGAGCGATCTCCTGAAAATATTAATAATTATTCCAACCTGTAAAAAACAGTCATTTCGTTTTCTCCATGCAGCGATATACTGCGGCACGTTGATCTCCCATCTCAGCGCGAGACGATACAGAAATCCCATCAATTCCTTGAACGACCTCCTCAACGCAGTCGAATTCGAGGATTACTCGTGGGGCACAGTGGATGGAACCGCCTTGCTCCAACTCTTCCAGGTGAGGGATGAGAATTGTGACATGATTAATATTCGCAATATTCCTCCGAATGTTTGCGCCTGTGACGGGTGACGCTTCTTTAGACGAGTGAGTCCGGCCTGTACAAGAGTCTATGGGAGAATGGGAATGCGAGGGGCAAAGCCGTGGTTTTGACAGAGAGCATCGACGAAGGGATCTCGAAGATCGAGCAAGGAAATTTCGCTTTCTTGTCTGGGAAAACTGCGAGCCGGTACTGGACGTCGATGCTCGGCGAAGAGCGGTTCCAAGTGGCCAGGGAAACGTTCTTTTCTCACAGCCATGGCATCGCGGTCAGCAAGGGCGCGCCGTATCACGCCAGCCTCGATTCCAAGTCAGTCTTTGTTAGCAGAATTTAGTCAGGGTTTAAGATTAGGTGAGGGATAAAAGGTTAAGAAACGGTTAGATAACGGTGAATCACCATTTAAAAGGGTTAATTGAGTGCTTCTCTTACATTAGATGCATTCTTTATATCCTTTTCGATTGAAGGTGTTAAATATTTAACCAGGAGATTTTAATGAATCTTGTACGTGGATAAATGAATATCCATGAAGACAAGTATAAATATTATCCCTTCTCAGGTTACATGCGTATATGAAGCACTGAATGGGAAATGGTCTCTCAATGAAAAGCAAATAATTCCTTCAGCTCCAGAGGAAAAAGTTAATATTTAAGTGATCGTCTTTTCTTAAAGGGAGGGAAAATAGTACATGTGCAAGGTGGGCCACATTTATCAGGTTGTTGAACTGTCATTGATCTCAAATTTGCATATGCTCTAAACGACATGGGACTCATGACTCGCTCTGAAGATGAGCCAGTTTCTCATTTTCATAAAACCCTCGAACGACTATCTTCAACGGATGAAAACAGGGCCAATTATCAAACCAATTATAAACTATCTCAGAATTTTTTTTTAAATAAACCATCAGGAAATGGAATAAATCGATCCTTTTTGAGGCTGCATATTTATCCCCAATTCTTTAAAGGAGTTGGATGTTACTGACCAGAGTTCAGGTTTTAACCTTTTCAGGGTTAAACAGAAAAAAAGGTATGGATGAGAGTAAAACACCATTTGCAAGGGTTACGTGATGTAAAGTTCACTTTTAGACCACAAGATGGAGTTATGGTGCTACCGTTTCCCACAGTACATAGAATCGCCCTTCCCTCTTACCTGGGAATCTCCCTCGCAGGGATGTTTTGTCACCTCGTCCTGTGTTTCGCCTTGCCTCATTATAGGTATCAATAAGCGCGGACACTTCCTTATTAATTATTCCCATTTTCGAGAAAGATTCCTGGATCCTAGACCAAAAGAAGCTTGTCTTCACAAACAGTAGCCCTTACATAAGCGAGAAAACTGTACTCCTGTGGAACATCCAAAACTAATAAAATAAAACGAAAGGTCATCTAAATAATTTCCAAATGTATTTTCCCCAAGTATTGTATTATTTAAGGGGGAGTGACGCCTAGAGCACTCAATGGGCTTGGGGAATGCCTCTCACCTTCATGATTATTTGTATACTAGGGAGATCATATATTATGCCAGGTTGGTATATCATTTTTAAAAGGATTATTAGTTTAACCTACCAAAAAGGCTAAATATGTAACCCACAAGGGATAAATATGAGTTGCAGTTGAAAAGCTGAACATTTTTGCTGACAGTGTGCCGTGTTTCTCATCGTTTTTCCATCACGGGAACCTCCTGGAAAGTGCGATCTTATGTCGTACTTACAATTACAATTATTATCACAATTACAATTCTGGTAGTTTGTTGATTCCGTCGGAGGAAAAAATTGTCCCTGAAGGGAAAACTATCAACAATTCGGATAAATTCTTGTAACGTTCCGAAATTTCACCGGAAGAATAAGTAAGCCATGAGGCAGGCAGATTGAGCAAGCGTACATGCTAAAACGAGTGAGATTTTGGTCCATATCTTCCAGCAGTTTTGGCAATGAAACTAAAGCAAGATGACTTAGCAATGGCAAATGTAATATTAGGTACGACCGATATGCACCTACGTATTACCCCTTAATCTCGCATTACCCCTTCAACAGCAACTTGTGCCGTATTTCGATGCCAACATTCCTTCTTTGTCTTTTCAGTAAGAAAACCATTTTATCCCGACGTAATACGCATTTTCCAGGAGACATCGCGCAGATCAAGTTCCTCCTCAGGCGTTGGGGAACAAGCTGAAACATACACAACACTGTCAGAATTACAACAATGTGAACCGAGAGCGTCGGGAGATGAAAAACAAGGGATGATATCCAGCTTCCTGTCTCCTAGCAATCTCTGCTGTCTCCTGTAGACGGAACTATCAAACAAAAGAATGTAAATCTTCGGAGATACCGAACATGAGAATGCGGACGATATGATCCGACCCATTTCCGCCTTGTCATCAAGAGCATGCCAGGAAAAAATCTCACTCCCAGCCTATATTACCCATTCGGACTCCAGTCTTCAAATATAATTTTTGGAGTTCTCGCAGGGTTCTCAGGTTCAATGTCAACTTGGGCGCAGCTGGTGGCACAACGGACGCGATCCGTCCAGAGATTTCAATGACACATGCAGATGGTGTATGATTGGATTGTAACCATTCCGAACGAATTTAAGAAGGAATTTAATTAGAAATTTAATGAGGAATTTAATATGGAATTTAATGAATTTAATGATGCATTTAATGATGAATTTAATGACGAATTTAATGAGGAATTTAACTAGGAATTTAATGAGGAATTTAAGGAGGAATTTCATAACCAATAGGTTATTCCTTAATTCCCTTTATAGGATTTTTTTTTCTTCCCACGTAATTTCTACGTCATTACCTTGTGAGGCATCCATTATGAAGGCATTACAATTTTATTGATGCTATTTTAGCAATGATGGAAGGTCCAAACTCACCAACACCCTGACCTCTCAGGTCAAACGGCATATTAATTACCATTTGCGTCGTTCTCTTACCTTTGGGCATTATGGATAGATCGAAGGGGGAAGATAACGCGTGCGTCCCTTATTCTATCAAAGTAGGACATGCTAGAACATGATAATGATTAAACATTCCATTATTCCCGATCAAGAACGCACGATAACTACATTTTCCCTGGAAAGAACAAGCCACCATAACGGGTAGTTCCCGACAGAACGGCAAAAATCACGATTCATAGTCCTCTCCATGCATCGCACTGCCTCCTTTCGGTTGCAGAGTGATGAGAGTCGTGCAGTCGGGGCTCATGGACCACTGGATGCAGGAAGTCTTCAACGCGGCGCGACTCCACTCCCACCGCTGGGACGGAGAGGGCGACGGCGACGATAAGCCGATCAAGTTGGAGGAGCTCCAAGGCGCCTTCTACATCCTCCTCATCGGACACGGCGCCGCCCTGCTCGTCCTCGCAGCGGAGAGATCCGGGAGGCGCGACGGCGCCGCCGGAAGTCCGAGATGCAGCGCCGGCAGAAGAATCGTGATCGTGAAAGACCGGCGGAGAGGACCCAAACTCACTCTATCCGAGATTCTCGGCATTCATTCTGAGAAAAGCCCAAAGTCCCCCAGGCGTCGCAGACACGCTAGACGGTAAGGAGCCGAGCGAGATGAGAATTGACAAGAATAGGAGAAATAGCCATAAGCAGGAAAGAAAACGCGGGAAACGGATACTCTCTTCTCAACCATCCTGTTGATATCGGTGAACATTGTCATATTACTCCATGTATTACCATTCCAGCAGTGGATATTGAAAAGCTCATATGAATGTGAATCCCGAGCATTTCCATGGATATACCATGTGGTCCGGCTGAATAAAAATTCTGGCGCGATAAAGACGTGTCCATGCGTTTCTAATCCATGCAAAACTCGAAGCGTGAATCTCCAGCAATCATTATTCACGTATGTCACGTGGGTAGGTGCGTTCTGCTGCCTCGTGTGACCGCTACGTGAGTTAGCGGTGCGGCGGCGATATCGCAGGTACGGAACCGTACAACAAGTGAACAAGAATTTGATGCGACAAGTAGAAAGGACAGAATAACTGGATAATTCAATTCAATAACGGGCAAAACAACTAATAAAGGAAAGAGTCTGTAGAAAAAAGAAACGAAACGTCCAGTGCCTTGTCCGAGTTTGGCGTCGAAGAGACGACGACAGAAAGACTCCGCGCAAACGGAAGGATGGAAAGGCGGAGAGACTCGAGGAGGAAAGGGCAATCTACTCAGCGGCCAGATCCACAAATTATGGAGAAGTGCGATCTGTCGAGTGCCGATAAGTCCTGTCGGGAAAGACTTCACGAATGCTGCTGGTAAGTGTCACCACGAATGCCGTCACAAATACCTCCATGACTGCTCGGGAATGCCACGAAATGGAGAAGCCTCCACCATTTGATAGGAGGAACCTGACAAGGCTGGTCGGAGAGTAATCCTCCAGCTCAAGGTGAGGAGGGCCGGGTACAAGCACGGTTTCGAAGGAATTCGTCCGTGATCACGCGCATTGTGTGGCCATTTTTAAAAGATCTCCAGAGGGCCGAAAACACGAATCTTCTCCGCAACTCCTACGAGAACTTCGTGACCGAGATTTCTTTCCCGCCGTGTTCTTCATCTACTGCCATCTCGAAAGACGCTTAAAGTGGGAGGAAGAGGGCAAAATTATGACGTCTCAGATTTTCGTAATATTTTTCGCCATGATCTATTTGGGGTCCAAATAATTCTATGACGAAAATTTCCATTGCATCTTCACAGGTTCCAGAAATATCAAAATCCTTCGAGACTCCCTTCTGAAATTCCATTCGTTTTCAGCAGTTGTCTCACAACTTTGCATATTGTTTCAGGTTTACACGGGAATTTCTTAATTAATTATATTGAAAACGATATGTTCTAATTTTGACGACGTATGAAAATACAGGGTTAGCCAAAAAAAAGTCAACCATTCAAAATTTGGTTATAAAATCCTCTTTTTTTTCAGCTATTGGCTTCAAAATTGAATGGAACGTTGCCTCATATGTTCTCCCACAGGAGTTAAAATTTCACTTGCCTACGTCTACCCCTACAAGAGTTATAGTAGATTTTGTCAAAATGGTCAAATTCTGAGCGAGCAGGCATGCGATTTCCAAGGCACGAGTTCGCACAGATTTTTGCTGAAAAAATAAATGAACCGACGGACGGAGCAATCGTGGCAACTTCACAGAACGTTCTCACGTGTGTGTGTGTGTTTTCATCATATGAAAGTGTTATGAAATTATGGAATTTTTTTTTAGCCTGTAATTCGCATTTATCCATACTTTTTCAAGTCCGTTTGCTCCCGGAATATAGCGTTATTCCAACTAATATTCGTAATCGAAAAGAGATAACGTTACAGTTTTGTTGCCAAAATGGAAGTATAGCCCATCATACGTTGAGCTTCTGTCATACATTTCTGAAGTCAGTCAAATCCCAGAGATATACCGTGGAAAGTCGTTCCAATACCTGCGAGAGTTCATTTTTCACTCTCAGAATGTGAAATTTATGTTGGATATGCTCCTTTTGGCCTCAGCATTCAACTTCGAAAATCTGAAAATTTCAACCATATTCATAAGTACAGCAATTATATTACGATTCCTGTGAAAATTCGTTTTCCGTGCTTCGATTGTGACTTACACGTAGGAAATGCTCCTTGAGGGCCTTTGCTTTCAACTTTCGAAGTTGAGAAAATTCCACCATTTAGGGAGGTTCTACGGGATTACCCTGATTGCTGTGAGAGTTCCTTTTCCATTCTCAGAATGGCATTTAAGACATTTAAGGACCGGCATTTAGTGCCAAGTGAGAGACATCTATTGAGCACCGCTGCAGCGAGACGAGCAGAACAGCGAAAATTTTCTTGGACTAAATATTGGATTGCCACTTCTTATTCCAAAAAATCTAGAGACTTCAAACTTTTAGGAAACATATTTTGGAGTCCTTTCTCGGTGGTGTAAAAAAAATTCAGAATCTAGCTCTTATACAATAGATGTCCCAAGGAATCAAAAAAGATGCTTATTTTTAATGGGCCATCCAGGTATATGGAGATTTCACTGCACCTTGTGAGACGTCTTCCTGCTTTCTTCGCCAAGTCGATGGTTGTCTGTCAATGCGGATTGCAGAGATGCATTTCGCCATCCTTCCTCGACTGACAAAACGTGCCGAAGATGCAGAGACGTGTTTTGCCCCATAACCCCTGACTTCTGCAGCTTGTTTCCATTAATAACCTGTGGATAAAATTATGGTTCGTGTAAATTATGGTTGGGATATCAGCAAGTAACCTCGTCATTAATCAAATAGTCATCATATATTCCTCAACTTCCATCCGCATTAAGGAAATAATGGAAAAAGCTACGAGTGCTGCGGAATGAATTCTCATATCGTTTCGATAGCTCTGGCATCAGCTGATGTGCACAACAGAACTGGCCATAGGCCGAAGTACTGCTCTTATAGTAATGCATTACAAGTTATTGAACTAGAATAGTTTTTCACAAATCATTAAAACTAGTACCTGCATTATACTGTATTACTTCTCCCAGGGAGTAACAATTTCTAATAATGTGCTGGGAATCTAATTATTGAGCATCAGTCTCATTGCTGGAATTTATACTTTAAAAACCACTTTAAAAAACTGTTGCTATTCATTCATAAGCTTGAACGTATCACGACTGCATAAATGCTTCATTCTTGGAATGAGAGAATCATGGAAAGTGTGTCACCTGATTTACTGTCACAACACCAATTGGAAATATATAATCTGTGGACAACTTGAGCCTCCTACCCGATTTTCCCTCAGAGCTAAGAAAAGTAGGGCATAGAGCGGGATTTAAGGCTACAGACAATCTCAGAGTTGTACAAGCCATGAGACTTGGCATAATCACTAAGGTTTACAAGAGGTTGGTCTTTAAAGGACAGAAAAATAATTGCAATAGCAACAAAATAGAGTTAATATTGGATTTGTTGAAGCAGTTAAAGGGAAAGTACGGTTGCAACAAAAGATTCCTGGTGTCCCCACATTGAATAGGGAGGAAATGGAACAAATTTTCTCCAATGTTAAGAGAGAGAGGGTAAACTAATATTTTCCTCCTTTTTTTTTCTTCCCCAGAGAACCAAGGGTTCAAGTTTTTATCTACAGCCTTTACCCCTCAAATAATTCAACTTGTATAATTAGCGACTTCAAGGGAACAACATATTCCTCATGGCTCTATCTAGTTCATTTAGCAACTTTATCTCCATTCGCTCATGAGATTCTGATAGGTTCGCTGTAATACATGTGCCATTTCAAGTGTTCATTCTGCTAATGGTAGTGCTATTGCACATCCGCATAGAAGAGGAAGATCTTTGCAATTGGAATTAAGTTTCGGATGGGGGACAGGAAAAGGGTCAGATCTCTGCAAACTTCCTGGAATTTACCATCAACTGAAGATAAATAAGTCTTAATAGAGTGGTTTAATCAAGCATGTTCCATCAACTTTTACTCCCTGATGGGAGCACAATTCAAAAGAAACCCACAGAATTGACTGAGGCAATGTAGATCAACAACTTTGGATGCTCTTACAGTTGGTTTTCTCATTTCAAGGACAGATATGGGATCAGAGTTAATGGGGAAGCTGGACACATACATAATGAAAATGTTGAGAAAATAAAAAAGGATACTTTTTGCAAGTAGAATGAAAGCCATTGTCAAGAGCAGACAAAATAAGATAAAATGGACAACAGCCACGAGATTCTAAAGTATCTGCACCATTTCCCAGCACCTTCAAAAGCACTTTCTTCATTAACATCCAGGAAACTGGCCTCTACCTTCTACACCAACAGCTAGGCATGCTCTACAAAGGCAACTTAACCTACTTCCACAAACTTGCAATTAAAACTGGTTCCCCAGACTACTTTGATAGTATTTATATACTATCATGCTACCATCAGAAAAAACATTAAGCAAAAGAATTCCACCTACTCTCAAAGTTTAATCAAGAAAAAGGGAAACAGCACTCGTCAGTTATGGACTCGCCTTAAAACTGCCATGGGCCTCACAAAACAAACATTAGCACCCCCCCCCCCCCGTCCCCAAATGAGCTCCATACTTACCTTAATCAAGCAGCCTTCAACCTCGTAGAACACCTCTCCAACATCCCCTCATCCTATCCTGTCTCCCCCATAGCTAAATTTGAAATCCCTCCTATCTCTGAAGATGAAACACTGGCCTACATTCTTAAATTACCTAATAAATCCTCTTGTGGGATGGATGGTATCCCATCGCACTTAAGTATTCCTGTAATGCCTGGAACTTTGTCCAAGTACTTATTCATCTCTTCAATACCATACTGTCCTCCTCAACCAATCCCTCATGCTTTAAAATTGCAAAAGTAATCCCCCTCCATAAGAAAGGCGACCCTTCCAACTGCTGTCCCGTACTGCCAACCATTAGCAAAATCCTCGAGAGGCATATATTCAATCACCATCACCAATTCCTCCAAGACACTAACATGCTCTCCCCCACCAATCAGGTTTTTAACCTAAACCAAACCTAAACTCTTCATCCTCAGCTTCCGTCATCTTCGAGGATGAATGCAGAGGGGGGCACCTTGTGCCGGCAGTTGGTTGACGAAGGGGGGGGGGGAAGAAGGTCGCGAGGTGCGAGGGGGGAAAAGAGATGCCTATCGCCTTGAATGGCATGAGGGGTTGCACGGAACGGAAAGGATGGCGAGGTCTACTTCCTCGTCCTACTTTCCCGTCGGGATGGCCTCTCACAATTTGGGAGCTGCCGAATAACACACCCCACATGCTCACGTATAGCAAAAGGGTCTCATCGGGAGGATGAGTTAGTTCATCGCCTAGACTCCATGATTCTGTCTCGAATATGCGGATAATAAATTATTAAGTATCCGATTTTATTGATTGCTATAATGAGACTAGGAAAAACATATGGTGAGGAACTAAACACTCCTGTGAGATATAATTCCATGGAACGAGAGAAGTGCACTTTTGTGTACTGTGCGAAAAGCGAGACCCATACCTCCATCTAGTGGCCAAGAGGTGAACTAACATATTTCAGGAAAAAAAAATTATCTGTGCAACCTAGGCACATTGGATCATCGCGTCAGTCTGATATCGAATCGATGATGGAATGCCAATATGTATGTAGACATCGTGCCCAATGTTGATCCAGCATTGACTCAATATCTAATGTTCCTGGGGTGGTAACACTGGATAGATTCTCGGTCGTCTCTTGAAAAAAAATTGTATTCCCTATTTAGCGATGCATGCTTCATGATAGTGCCATAACACTGCTATAATATTCACGCAACGTTGGTCTTCGAACTTCAACGTCGATGACGCTGTATCGACTCTAGGGGAAAGTTCCCACAACGCTACAATGTTTGCTGGGTAAGGAGTAAGAAATAAAAATGCACCTGAAGTTTTTTTT